ATCAGTGGGCCTCACTATTGAGAGTAAGAGACACTGAGCCTTTTAATCAGTCTCTTTCCCTGCCCAGTTGGTAATATGTCTGCATTTCTGAACCAGGTCGAGACATCAGCAGCTCCCCTCAGCAGGTTATTATTTCTCTTGGATGGATTAAAGGGGGCAGTATGGTGGGAGGTGAGGTTGACCTCGGGGCTTGTTCTGCTGGCCGTGGTGGAGTCTGGGGGAAGGTAACGAGGAGGTGGTGTTTTATAAGCTGTGAGGTTGTGAGGTTCCCAGGAGAGAGCTATATTTTCTTACTCTCCCTGTTTTCCCCCTCTTCTTTACTGCAGAGTGAGCAGCCTGAAGCTGCAGATCACTTGACAAAAGCATGTGACTGCAGGGGCACCTGCAGCAGGGAAGGAGTTAGGAACCCTAGTTGTGCTGGGCCACCTCGCTGCATTTAGTCCCAGACAGTTTGGTACCGATCCTGTGATACCTGAGTGTTGGGGTCCCTGGCTGCCTCTCTTGTATGAAGCAAGTCTAGGAAGAGTTAGATGGTATAGAACGGTGAACTGAGAAGTCAACATATCTGGGTGCTATTTTCAGATATACTACAGATTTTTATTTCTCTTTTATAATAGGACTTTATTTCTCCAGATGCAAACAGAGACGGTGCTTACCCCTGAATGACTCATAGATTATAATGAAGGAATCCTCTGGGCAGCTGCCTGCAGCAAAGGAAATGCTGTTTGGGAGGTTATTATTTTGTCTCACTAAATGCAAAGCCTTGTCCTTGGAGGTGTGAGAGGGAGCCCACTCTCTAAGGGGCTCATTGGCCTGGATTTTAATATTTTCTTGAATTTCATGAAAAGAAAGGGTCTGTCTGTACTTGTAATCATTCCTTCCCAGAATTCAATAGAGTGATGAAAAAAGTTGTGGGTAGGGAGGTTGGGAAGTCATAGAATCGTATACTTCTTACATTTTGTTCTTATTTTCCTATATTTTTCCAAGTGATTTGTCCAAGATGACACAGTTAGATAGAACAGGGCAAAAAGCAAACTGGGGCCTCCTAGATCAATGCACTCCCCAGGCCTCGGGTACAGACTCATTAGGAAAATGCCACCAGGGATTTTGTTAGCTGATGGACTGCAAGGCTCCTGTGTGGAGCCAAAAGTCACCTCAGAGCTTTAGGTAAAGGTGTCCCTCTACCACCCACCTCGGTGACTTGATCCGTTATGAATTCCTGTAATGTAACTCCTGTCCCCACTCAGCTGCTTGGCCCTCCTCGACAGGTCTTCTTCACCTTCCCTCTTCTCCCCTCCTCACCTTACCTCTGGCCCTGACAACTCAGCCTTCCCGTGTCCTCAGTTTCCTCATCTTCTTCTGTTTATGGGGGATTAGGGGCCCCTTGTCTTTGTGAGAGGACACAGTGGGATCTTGGACAGAAAGAATCCTAGACCTGGGGTCTGCCCATCTCTATCCAAGAGCTAGGTCATGGCTGTGTGACCTTAGGCAAGTGGAGTCCCCTCTGGGAATTATATATCAGTAGAAAATGGTGAGACGCCCACCTACCTTCCAGGTCTGTTGGGAGCCTCAAAGCCGGGCACTGGCTGTCAGTGCATCCTAAGGTTCTTCCCTCACAAGACTAGTTGCTCAAGAGCCTGGCCCCTCCTGGTGGTCTTGGGCCTTCACCCTTCTCTCCTCCTCTCTGCCAGCTCCTGAAGATGCCTGTCTGTGCCGCCTGCCACCCCACCTTCAACACACAAATCACCTTGACCTAGCTGGCCACTCAAGCCACTGAACCATTTCTCTCTTTCCCTTCAGCAAACTCATCCCAGCTGCCTCCTCACCACTCACTCATCCCTAAACCCCAGTCCCTTTCTGGAAATGACTCTCCGAAAGGACACAGGTGACTTCCCACAGTTGTGTTTATACATATGAACACATATTGACAAGGAACCTGGAAAAATAAAAGCACCAAGGTAGGAAGTTTGTGGGCAAATTCTCAGCCAAAATTGATTCCCATTTGTGTTTCTTTGTGTCAGAATTGTTTAAGTTTCCCAATTTCTCTCTCCTGACATGGAGTCATATTGTTCCTGCTTGGAGCGCCCCACTTACCCACTGAGGTGAGGCAGCGTTCTCTGAGAAATGCTACTCTCCAGAGTTAGGGCTGCTGGCCGTGAAGAACATTGGAAAGGATTTCCCCAGGACCACGGTCTGTGTGGCCAATCCCACTGAAACGAAAGCTGCTGACCAATGCCCCCTCACCTCTAGGTGCTGCCTCATCCCCAACATATGCCTTCCTCATGCTTTGTGATTGAGAATGCTGAGTGTAGGGAACATGGCAATGGCGTACNTGGTAGCAAGCACCAGCCAGAGAATGGCTGGGAGGGCCACAGCTGACGACTTAGAGAATGAGTCTCAGCTAAGGGGGGCAAGGGAGGGCGGAGGGTTATTCTCCAGTTCATCTTCCTTGCGTCCCTGGCTCAGCCTACGCATCCTGGACAAATCCCGGGGAGAGGTACTGCTGCGGCTTCCAGCGTCCCTGCTGACCCTCCGGCCCACGCGCTAGGGGCGATCTCAGCTGTCCGCCTGAGCACCCCAACAGGGGCAGGGAATTCGGGTGGGTGACTCCCCCAGGGGCCCGCTGCAGGTGGAAAATCCGCCGCCCAGCGTCTTGGGGCCACAGCCTGGGAGAAGGCGCATCTTGGGATCTGGGTCTGTGGGAGGGTGCCGGGGCCGAGGCCGGCGGAGGGCGGGAATTTGCCTGGGGCGGGGCGGGGCGTGGCGGGGATCGGGCGGCAGGGCTGTGGCCCAGCCCGGCGGGGAGGGACAATTATTAGCATAGTCTCCTCCCCTCTCGGCGCTGCTCCTTCCAGAAACCCCAGCGGAGGCCGGCTGCGCTCAGCGTGGACTCGGACTGGGCTGCGGGCTCCCGGCTCCGGCCCTCCCACGTCCGGTCCCCGTTCCCGTTCCCTCCCCACCGGCCTCCCCCGGCCGCCGCCCTCCGCCGCCGGGTGTGAATGAAAGGCAGGCGCCGCCGGGGGCTGGCTGCAGGCGACGCGGCCTCGCGGGAGGCGCTTGCCCCGCGGAGATGTACGGTAAGGAGGGCTCTGCCCACGGGCTCGCAAACTTGCAGGACAGAGACCATTGTCCCCCGGCGGGGCCCTGGCGAGGCCAAGGGTTGCGGACTTGGTGCCCGGCTGGGCTCTTTCTGTCGCTCGGTGCGCGCGCGTCTGTGCTGAGAGGACAAAGATGCCCAGGGCCGGGCATCCTGGGGTCCTGAGGTCCTTTGAGCTGGTGGTTTGCAGGCGCTGGGGGCGGTGGGCGGTGGTCCGTCTGGGGGCGGGGGCTTGGGCGATCCGGAGCGGTTGGGCTCTAAGGAAAGAGGATCTCCCTTGGAGCCGAGCAGACCGGGAGTGTTGGTGGAGGTGGTCGTGTGTGACAGCACTTGCAGAATTAATTAACAAAAGCGAGTTGTGCTGCGGAGTTTTCTGCGGGAATCCGATCCGGGATTGCGGGGAGACACTCGCTGCCCGCCTTATGCCTGGCTGAGAGGATGTGGGAGGCGGCGCCGGCTGTGCAGAGGTTTGGAGAGCCAGTCA